ATGAAAACTATCAGGTTTTCTACTTTTCTATCTATATTTCTATCTAGATGTGTAAGCATGTATGTACACAGTGAGAGAGAGGGGTGGCTGCTGCATAGGAGGAGCCATTTGCTGAGCTATTGCCAAGGCAGGGCGGTGCAATCCTGGTATCAAGGACAGGGCCTAAGATTTAAATTCTTCTTTGTCATGGGAAGGCCTTGCTTAATCCTCAGACATGGGAAGGAACAAAAAAAAAAAAAATACAAAACCAAAAACCCCTAACAAAACAAGAGAGAGAGCAAAGGAAAGCAGTGCAAAGTTGTGCAAGGCTGAGCAGCTATTCTGCTTCCATGATCAGTGTGTTCAGTCACACAGCATTGGAGAATTAAATAATATCCAGTATGCTGAGTGAACCGTATAGAAATTCATATCAAGCTTATTATACAATATCAGACATGGTACATCACCATGTAAGGAAATGTATTTGAGCTCCATGAAGGCTGATGCCTTATGTTTTTTTAATAAAGTTGAGGACAGATTACAAATCTTTGCTTTCAGCCCAAGGTTGCAGTGGATGGAAGCTATTTCCTTTGACGTACTGAATAATTTGCCTTTTTTGAAGTTACGATAACACAAAAAACTTTGAATACCACATAGTATGAAGTGGTAAAGCATTAAATTATGGCGTCTGAAAGAAAATGATGTTGAACATATAAGAAATAGGTTACTAGGACTAAACGGACCAACACGATTAAGTCCAAAATGCCCACACGGTACCAGCCTCAAGGAAAGAGTAGACTGGATGGTTGCTCCTTTAATTACGACTTCTTGGAAAGTTTTAACAATTTAACGCAGCGCTCCTGGTTCCCCTATGCTCTTGAAAAAGAAAAAAACAAACCAAACCCAAAACCAAAACAAAGCAAAGTGGATTTCCATCCTTATTCTTAATGCTACAAAAGTATTAACATTGCATATATCACATATATCACAGTCTTAAGGACAGCAATTGCTGGTGACACTCTGGGTAACGGTCTATATTTTTGCGATAAAGCAAACCCTTACAGAGCTAACTCAAGATCTGACTCATCTACATCTTCTTCTAGTAGTGCTCTTCAGCTATCAGGTACTTCCATGTCTGCCATGCTCTAGCCCCTGAGGCCAACTGGCTCTGGCACAGGATGGGTGACACAGCTCCCTCCTCATTTCAGAACAAGCACACTCAGCAGCGAGGAGGGATGCTGCATGGGCTCACTTGCACGGGACAGGCAGGAACCTGGAAGGAGCCCACTGCAGAACACCCTCCATCTAAATAGTGGACAAGTAAGACAAGTGAGGCTGTGAATCAGGGACTCGGCTGTTAGCCCACTGAAGTTAGTGGAAATTTATTAATTGACTCCAGGAAGCTCGGAATGTCACATTAGTATTGGGATAAAGGCAAGCAGGATGCAAGTTAACAGGAATAATATGGTGTAGTTACTCACTAAAGTCTACTGATCCCTTGAGGCTCCAACTATTTTGAGACATTTGGTACAAGTTGGAGCCAGTCTATCTGAAGCACACAAAGCTTAGAGGCACAAACTCCTTTTTAGGCAACTGTTTTGTTTTGGGGTTTTGCTTTTTAAATATTGCATATGCTTCAATTTAATTTCAGCCAGTGTTGATTGTGTAACTAACTTCTCTTAAGAGAGCTTTTGGATACTGCAAAAAAAGACTTCCTAGAAGCAGCTTTCAGAAAGCATTTTAAAAATCTTTATCTCACTGGCCCTAGCATCCTCCCACCACAAAGCTTTCCAAACACAAATATGTGCATTTTTATGGTGTCTCAGAATAGGCATATCAGCCTTGAGGGCTGGTTCCTCACAGTGTTGAGGAGGCTGTACAGCAGATGTAGGCAACTAAATCAAGCCAGTTGATCCCCTGTACAGTGTCATGGCTATAAAATCCTCCATGAGGAGCAATGTGGAAAGCAGTTGTATTTGTGCATTCATCATGTATGCTATGACAAATGACAGTTTTATGGTTAAATGCACTTGAATGGAAGGTTAAGGTTCACCTCCCTTCTCTGCCCTAGACTTCATATATCACCTCAGGTAAAACTAAGAGCCAAATAATACTTTAAACAACAGATTTCATTTCCCTTGCCTTGTATTTCCAACACGGGTGTAATAGCAATTCTTCCCAACTTTGTCTCTTTAGATTAGGCACGTATGCCTGGAGGTTTGCTTGGGGCTTGGAGCAATGGGAAGCCTGAAGTCAGGCAGGGACAATGAAAGCTGTAGCAAAAGAAAAACCAACAGTACATAATGCAGGCAATAAATGAGCTCAGTGCTAGCTCCAGTGAGAGACAGTGTTATGCTGTCCCTTTCTGATGCTGTGCATTTCCCCTGAGTCAGCTGTCGTTTGCTGAGAGCTCCTACAAGAAGTCAGGCCCTTATGCTTTTCCACAGTTGTATCAGGAGCCATAAGATTTAATTAAGCCACTGACAGTTCTATGGCATTAGCCAGACAGATTTTATTCTCTTGTTTAAATATGTGAGTTTCAAAATACTCATAAATCTGTGAGGAGTAAAGTACACATATGCTACGCATAAAACTAGGAACTTGCAATAGCCAGAAAGCTTATTAAGGTTAAATTAACTGAAGTTGAAAAATAAGTAAACCAAAATGCTTACATCATTCTTGAAATAAACCCTAAGGTAAGAATCTGAATGTCTATGAAAATCAGAAGGCAGTAAAATGATGGGGATTTTTTTTTTCCGGTTGACAGCTTAGCACCTTAAGAACCTGTTTGTGTCTCCTCCCCGTCGCCTTTGCACATTATGAACAAATACATTTCTCAGTTTTTGTGGTCCATAGTTTCCTTAGTCTGCCATGTTTATATCCCTTGTAATTTTTGGCAAAGGTTCAACAGAATATAAATCTCAAGAGTCCAGATAGTAATGGATTATAACATATGCTTCCCCCTTTCATTTGCCACAATGCCATAAATATTTCAACAGAAATATCAAGATATAGGTAACCCCAAGAGGAAATATATCCCCAAAAACAAATGGAGGTTTTGGAAAGATGGCATGGCCTCTCGAGGAAAGGAGGAAAGAAAACTGGAAACTCAGTTTAGGGCCACCATGCAGAATCAGAGAGTGAAAGCAGCTGTTTGGAATTTGGGGCAACAGGGAGATAAATTCAGTGAAAGACAGACAACGTCAGACGACACTCTTGGACGGGTGTGTGGATTCCCATACAGCCAGCTGCCCAGAGTCCTGCAGGCTGAGGACAAACTTTTGGGAAAGCGCCCTGCAGGGACGCTCTCGGCAGGTCTTGCCGCCGCTGGGCAGCCCGGGAGAGCTCTCTGCCTCGGCAGTCAAGCGCAGCCATCACCCCGGTGCTGATCCATCAGTATCTCCAAAATGGATCGGAGAGGAGGGAAACAAAAGGTGACCTCGGTGAGTATGTGTAGCTTACCCTCAATCTCAGGGTTTTCCCAGCTGAACAGACAAAGCACATTTACATTTATTTTTGACTCGTATCTGCTGTAAGGAAAACAAGCATTTTACATCCCCCCCAGAAAAGGAAGAACTGTGTAGGTTAATGCAAGAAGAACGGCTGGGAACAGTGACATTTCTTGGAGCTACTCATTTCTCTAAGGATAAAATCATTTCTGAATTTAAGTGTGCGGGTTTTTTCCAGCACAGTGAAAGATAAGATGGATGCTAGGTAATGATTACACTGAGGCTAGGCTCCAATAACGTGATTGTGGGCATGATGGAAGCTATATAATGCAGAGATACTGCACGTGATTTATAGGTTGTGAAAAGAGAAGGGGTTTTGCAGAGTTCTGTACATTTAGCTCTGTGTACTAAAAGGATTTATTTAACAGGCTGGTTGGTATACTTTAAACAGATAATATTGTACCTTGAAAGCACTGTGCTATCCTTGTCTACTTAAATATATTGAAACTATGCTTGTAACTACTCCTTGTAACTCCCATCCTAGAGAGGGATTTCAGAGGCCTTGTGTGTTCATTCTGCATGCACAACGCTCAAGCAGATTTTGCTGCTTTACTGCTAAGAGTTAACCAAGAGCCACATTTCTCCACTACTAGTAGTAGCTACACTTTGGCATATTAAATAGGAATCAGAGGGAAACAAAAATCACATTCATAATGAAAACATACAGTGTCTTCAACTAAGAGTACTTACCAGAAGAATAATAATAGAAGACATACAACATAGAGGTGTAGTGAAGGCAAAAGAAAGATATATTCTTGCTAGAAAAGATTGTAAGAAACAATCTGGGCATTGATAATCTACGTCATAAACAATTTAGGGGAGGAGAGAGTCCTGAGTCAGTATTTCCCATGTTTTTTTCTCTGCTGAAGTCCCCTAGTAGTCTAATAATTCCTGCGTGGCTCATACCCATCTCCAGCATGTGCTTCCATTTCTTCTTTTGTCTGTTTTTTTCCATTTGTTTTTTTTCTTTATGTCTGTTTTTATCCTCTCTCATGCTTTCATTCTTCTTCCTCCATCTCCTCCCTATGTACATTTATTTTGTTGCTGGCAATTCTCTTGTTCCCTTCTCCAGAATATTTATTTTGCCAGGTATTTTCCCCCCTCCTGTGTTTCTTCAGAGATGCTGGAGATGTAAACAGTCCTGATAAAATTCAGGGCTGAACAGCTTATTGCGAGGAAGAGAGTGAAAAAAAAAAAAGCTGGAGAGAGGAGGAACAGCTACCTGCAATCTCAGCTTCTCAGCCCCTCCATATCAGATACTTCTGAGGGAACATGTCCTGGGGCAAGGAGAAAAGAAGAGTGCACTGTGAGGGGGGAGGAAGGATGCAAGAAGCCCACACTGAGGTCCATACCTAGATCTGGGAGCTTTTCACAGATACAAATTGTAAACTACCCAGGAGTGGGCTCCTGGTAAAAAGAGGCAGTAGCGGCCCAGGTTGAGGATTTGGAGCATTTGGAGCATTTTTCAGACATACCTCTCTTCAAGCTAATTATTTCACATTTTTCATCCAGAGATGAAGGTCACTTGATGCATTGAACTATCATCGAGGGATTTTGGAGCTTGGAGAGACAATTGCACCGTTATGAATATCAGCTTTGATTCTTCCCAATTATACTAAGAAGCCCTAAGGGATCCTTAAAGAAACAAAACTTGCCAAATTTGTAGGGGACTCTATCATTCAGAGGCCCTGACAGGAGCCAGCTGAATCCAGCCGTCATATATGATCCAGGATCAATCAGCCAGAACTCATCCAGAGAACGAAGCAAGCCCCTAGAAAACTCCTACAAAGCAGAAATTGCCAACAAACCATCTTCTCTTTCAGCTCTTCAGCTCATCAATATTTCCAAGGCTTTAAGAGTTATCCCACTTTAATAAAAATGCAAAGTTATTAATAGAAATTTCCATGTGGAAATTCTTTGTACTGATTCAATTTCTTAAGCCAATAGCTTTAATAGAGTCTTAAGGAGAGCAGGTATAGCTTGATCAATCTAGGTCTTGTATTTTTCAGAACAGAAATGATGCGAAGTGTAGAAAAACATTTTTTTCTTCGGAGAATCTGTTCCTGTGGCCAGACCCAGGCAGTGCAAGTGTGACTGCATTTATGCAGGTAGTTGCTGATGTCAAAACCCACTAGTGTCCTCAAGGTGGATCTTAAAGCAGAATGTACTTGTACCACTATCCACTGGCTGTTGACAGCTCTGTGGTGTCATGCTGTTGTAACAATGGATGAAGAAAAATACTCAGTACTGATCTGCAGTGAAATGGTTATTTTTTGTGAGTTTGACTACATATTTGTCATGTGGCAATTTGACTGGAAATTAATAGGATTACTTTTCACTGGCTGAGGTTAATGGCATTACCTGCTTGGCTTTTATAAAATTTCCATAATTTAGTAATATTTATCTAAGTCACCGTAAAAGTATAGAAATTGATAGTAAAATCATGGACAGCTGGGTAGAGGATGAAATGAAATAAAGTAAACCAAACCCACGCTCTTATGAAAACACAAATGCCAAATTAAGTTTCTTAGGTTAACAGTTTAAATAATCCAATTTAACAATAATAAAGATACTTGAGACTTGATTTTATACTGTATGAGTGTGCAGAGGAGAACATCTACTGAGAGGTAGATAGCCCGGGCCCAACAGGGATGCCAAGGGAATGAGCAGCTTGGACCGCTGCATCTTCCCATACTCATTTCACATATTCCTAATAGTTTTAACTGAAAATTTCACTACAGTATATTACCTTGGCACAACTAATTTTTGTCCTGGATAATTACTAAGGGATAACATTTATAACAGATAAGTATATAGACAGTAAAGGGGGGGGTGGGGGGAGCAGGGGAGGCCTTAAGGCTTTGTTAAACAAAGAAGCAACACTGAAGCATTAGGTAACTGAAAGATTTTGGTTTCAAATGAACCTGGCTATGGCAAACACGGCCCCTACGACCAGACAAGATAAAATGAAGTTTCCACAAGCCAGTGTACAAGCAGCTGTTGGCCAGACTTGGCGCTTTCTTTCCACAGACTGTTTGGTGTCTGAGATGCTGAAACTGGCAACATGAGAGCAGGGGAGGGGACACTGGAAAAGGAAACTCAGCCTGGATAGCATTCAAATGTGGAAAAGGTGGCAGCTAATCTGCAATAGGAGAGATGGTATGAGGCACACCTTCCTCTCTCCTCGTCCCGGGTGGTGGCCATGAGCACCGCACTGCCGGGCCGTGCGTGGCCCCTGCCAGCTGCACCCAGTGCATCCTTCCCATCCCCGAGATTGCACCTGGGGGCGGGGGGGATAACTCATTTACACAGCCCGTAATTCAACCAGATAATTCAGCTCTGTGCGTAAGCCACTGTAAGACCTAGCACCCGCAACTGGAGATTCCTTGAGACAAGGATAAAGTCTGTCTTTCTATTTCTCATGTAACTACAGAAAATCAATACAGTTTTAAATAATATCTTACTAATAAGATGACTGTGTGTGATTTTTCTCAGCTTTGACTACCTTGATTGTCATTGTCTCATGGCTAACACAGGCCTGATAATTTTCAATATTTCTAATTGGTTTCTGTTATACACAGAGAGCTAGATGCTATTTTAGCTTGCAGGTTTGTACCACTGTCTCATGATTAAATCTCTGTATGAAAGTGATGATTCAGAAAATTCATGTCAAAAGTATTATTTAGAAGTAGATTCCATCTAAAAGTGCTTGCTTATTATTTGTCCCTTTGTTTCCTTTGGATATTGGCTAGTCCATTAAATACAATACCTACAGGTTTTAAATAGTGATGCCACTTTGTGAATTTTATTTAATGGCTGTTTCAGACTGTTTCTTCAATGCATATAAATCTTCCATTCACATAAGCAGAATCAAAAAGGAAGAAATTTCTTTTCAAAGTTTGAGAGCTTTGTTTCACAAATGTACAGTATGTGGCTGTGGCCAGGAAACTAAAGTCAGAGAAATATGAACAAAATTCTTATATGACATGCATCAAAAGATTTCAGGAGTTGTTCTAAAAAGCAAAATAACCAACTATGACTGTCACCTAGAGAGATGCAATTTCCAAAGATCCTTGGCTCTTCTTGCCATGTGTAAACGTTTTATACCTTTTTCCCTATTTTCATGTAGCTATTACACTCTCCATCTGTTGCTGTTTACGTTTAATATGCCAAAAATAGAGACATATTATGGGATGCTTGAGATTTTGTACATGTAAAAGATCTATTTGTATCCTGGATAGAAGAATGCCCTCATGGGAAGGTTTACTCTAGTGGGCAAACATTAGCAGAGGGAGTATTTCATCATGCATTTGTTTCAAAGTGAGAGAACAAAAAAAAAATCCTAGATTTATAGCCTTGGAAAACCTTATGTGTTCATTCAGGGGGAAAAAACAGAAAGAGAAAAAGAAAACAAGAAAGGGAAGTTAATAGATAAAGGTACTTCATACAGACACCTACATCAATTACCAATATATGAAACCATTCTAATATTCTCCTTTGTACAAGTAATTTCACCAACATCAGTGGAGTTAGTTACTCAAGTTACTCTCACGAAGAAGATTCTACTATGAGCGCTTTAGACTTGGACCCTTTGAGTCTGTCTCCTGAGGACTTACGACAGATTTACAACAAAGGGAAGGTTGCAAGTGTTGACTTGCTGGGGAAAAAAAAAAAAAAAACACACACACATATTTATATTGTTGCATAAATGTTATAAAAAATACAGTCAACTGCAGCTCTAGATCTATGCCATCTGAAGAATTCCTAAGCTGCAGCATCACGAGAAAAAGAGTAGTGATACCAAAATTTAGGGATGTCTGCTATTTCCTATCATTGGATTGTACATTCAGGGCTCATATTATGGCTGAACTCCTAGAGTTCAAGATGCAATTTTCCTTTCTTAGGCTAAATTAATCAGGCTAACTTTAAGAAAATAATACTATCTTTCATAACTATTTTATCGAGAGATTTTATATCTTTCAGGATTTTGAAGAAGGAATAGAAATATAGTACTGTGCTTGGACTTCTTCATGGGAATAGATGATATATATGCTGTCAGGTGTTCCAGGGTTTGGTCTATGGGACTTTCCTGGCAAGTGCCAAGCTGGAAGAGCATCTCCTCCTCTTCCTGCGGGAATTCAGACACCAGTGAGAAGGAAAGGTAAGCCAGGAATGTTCATGTCAGGGAGACACACATTAATCACAAATAAACAGGACCTAGGAGATCGAAAAAGCCCCCCCTTTTCAAGACAAAGGGATAATGGAAAGGACAGAGATTGAAATTCAAAGGCAGGAAAGAGTGAGGGAGCACCTATGTTAGCATTTTAGTTCAAACTGCTGTTCTACCTCTGTAAATCCCTGCGTTTCAGTTTCCATCAGCGAGCAGTCTCAGGACAACCAAACTGGGTTTCTTTCAGATAAAGTTAAATTGAAAGGTGTGCTCTAGCTGGTCACCAGAGGACCAGACTAGAACTTGCTCAAAGCAAAATCTCCTAAAATGTGTACAGAGTGGATGTCAGCCACCAGCTGGTGCCTGCTGCAGTCCTTCAGACTGTACTCATTTGCTCGCACCAGCGTAGTCCAAGAGACCAGGACTTCCTGAGGTACAGGACCGAGACAAGTCCCAAGGTCTGCAGGCTGGGATTTTGCTCATTAAGGAACCTGGAAGGGTAATGCCTGGTAAAGTATCAGCATAACAACGCAGAGGCTTGATCCCTCTTCAGCCTGTGGAAAATAATATAGTAGAGGAACTGGAGTGAAAGGGAAGAGCTGGTGACCTGGTAGAAACGTGAATAGGGAACTGGAGGGGAAGGATGAAAGTGGAGAGAACTCAGACATTATAGGTTGAAACTGTGCATATGCTTTATGTCATAATAAGCATTTTATCAAACATTTGCTTTGATGCCGAAGCAAAATAATGTCTCTCTCCAAAAACTCTTGCCCTGTAATGGGATCTGTTTAAAGTGTTTTTGAAATAATGCTGAAAATGCTTGAAGTTTCTCTGCTATCAAATTAAAGCTTAGGGAGTTAGACTCAAAGCCTATTAAAATTCTGTTTAGCATGCACATTTTAACACAGATGTTTCAATAAAAGGGGTTTCCGTGTAATTTTCTAATGATTTGCTATGTCAATCATGATAAGTCCCAGGTTTGTGACTTGCTTCTGAGAGTTAAACAGAAAATAAATATACCAGTTCTTACCTGCTGCCCATCTAGTTTGAGCTAAAAGCAGTAAATAGTCTCACGGATGTATCTGATTTGATTTGCATTGCTGAGAAAGCAAATCCTATGAGAGAGAAAACTCAGAAAAAAAGTCAATGTTGGATGAGTGCCACATTTTCAATTTAACTGTGTTCCTCAGTTTCTCCGCTCCCGAATATTTTCACCCAAAAGTGTAAAAATGGTTACAAATCGGCAGACGTTGGCATTTCATGCCTGAACATTACTGGCTTGAGCAAGAGGATCATGGGATACCTCCCCTATGTCATATCTCATTATGAACTAATGCTCCCAAGAAAACCAAAAAGATTACAAGCATCGGTTGAGAAGAAATAGAGCAAGTGAGATAGCACCCAACTGGAGATACACAATAGGAGGAGACGCAGTATCGCGCAAGTCAGGAGGACAGCAGTGTTTGAGAGATTTAGCTCAACCTGGAGACAACCTAAAGGTTTCACGAAGTGGCATGGAGATAAGCTAAGACTGAAGAGTAGGTTCTTCTGTCGTCAGCAGTCCATAATGTGTGCCAGATGGTGGAGAGCTGCCTTTGGCCATCCCCTTCACTTGTGATGCCAGGACAACCCTAAGTCAGGCCATGACCTCCTGCAAAAAGGCAGAACTCAGCCTGTCTGGCCCCAGTAGACCAGACTGCGGAGCTACACTGCTATCTGGTTAGCTGATGGGCAGAGCAGGGGGTTTTGGCATACATCAGGACCACGAGGAGTAACACCCTCCATGGCTATCGTTCTATGACAGCTCCATCCATCACATCCCATCAGTCTGTTATTGCCTAGTAGTGCCAGTGCAACTAAGGCAGTAAAAAAGGATGCCACCTTACCTAAATCTCAGCGTTACTGCTGGTAATAGCACAGAAGCTCTTTCCTCTCAGTGAATAAAGATTTCTGTACATAATCAAGCTATTTTCTGAAAAGTTTCTAAAAATCAGGAGTTCTGCTTTCAAGAGCAACTGAATCCACGCACTGTTCCCACAATCAATCCTTACAGACTCCCAAATAGGCAGATTTATAGCAAGGACTGGAAAACAATTTATGCATCCAGATTTCTTTTCCAGACATTTTTGCTGTACCTCCATGCCAGCAATCGGGCCCATTTTCACTTCCTCCCCTTTTCCCATAAAATATGGCTCTGCACCCCACAGTCCCTGCTATTGTTGCTCAAGACCTCGCACACTGCTCAGCTGCCTGGAGCAAGTTTAGGAATAAGAGCTACATTTGAATTTGTTTACCAAACAGTTTAGAGTTAGCAAGTAATTGGGCTTTTTTTCCCTTTTCATCAAGAGCACATTAAAAGGGG